GTCAAAGGGACTTTTTTTCCATTCAGCCCCTTCTAGAGAAGTAGAAATGAACCACTCTGGAGGTGGCAGTGGGAACCTTCAGGCTATGGAAATGGGGGCAATTTGCCTAATGGACCTGGTGGCGCTTACTAAGATGATTCAGCTGGTGACTTGCATTATGATTCTTGCTGGCTGGCAGGTGAGTGGCCCTCACACCAGGTGGATATGGGGCTGCCTCAGAGTTGAACTTGACCAAAAAAATCTCAAAGTTACAAGACTTCAAAATATACCCCACCTCTGTGGACACAGCCCAAATCAAAACAGTGTGAGCAGGTGACATAATCAGTTGTCCTCAGCAGGGTGATTGAATTTGGGTGCTGCCCAGGTGTAAGGTGGGGCCTTCATTCACTCATGGCTGGTGAAGCTTGGAGGTGTGATCTGTGGCTGAGGATCTGGAATTTATCCCCCATGTGAAGCTTGCTAACTCAGGAGGAAATCAGCCCCTGGAATAGGACTGTCCAATGGAACTTTCTGTGATGACAGAAATATTCTATATCCAAACTGTCTCATATGGCAGCCACTGGCCACATGTGGTACTGAGCACTTGAAGTGTGGCTAGTGTAACTGAGGAATTAAATTTTTAATTATATTTAATTTAATTTACTTAAATTTTAATAGCCACATGTGGTTAGTGGCTGCCATATTGGACAACACAGATCTAGACTCTTGTCCCAACTAGCCAAGCCAGATCTCATCCCAACCAACTCCCTCTGAAGTCAGTGGTGGTGCCAGAAATCCGCTGAGCTGGAAGCATTCATGGGGCCGTAGGACAGGAACTGGGCTGGGCTTGGCCCCCAGAATAGGTGGGAAGATCTTAGATCTGGCCCACCTAGAGGAAGAGAAAGATCCCTTTCTTAGGTCTAATGTCAAAGAGGGCCAAGAGTGGCTTTTCTACCCTCATCTCACAGCCCAGAGCACACTCCCTGGTCAATAGCCCCAATGCCCTAGGATTTGTGAGCTGGAGGAACCTTCCAAATCGTCTCATCCAATTACATTCCATCAGAGGTGAGAGGTCACACGGCCGGAAAATGATAGATCTGAATCTTGAATCCAGGACTCCAGATCACACATTCAGAGCTCTGTCCTCACGTCTGGGTTAAGACTCAGAATTCAGCCCTGCTCAGGCATGTGTCCACTGAGATTTTCAGCACAGGGTCCTGCTACCAATTACAACCAATTCATCTCATAAGATAACTGCCAGCTCCAGAGCAGATGGCTCCCCACTGCATCTTAGCATTTAGGTGAACACATGGAGTTGCTGCTTACCAAGATACAGAGTCTCTGAGAGTTCCTGCACCTCCCTGAGCCTCAGTTTTTTCATCTGTAAAATGGAGCTGATAATACTTGCTTGGTGGCTTCTCTAAAGATTAAATAAGGTAACACAAGGCAACGGCCCTGCATATGGTAAGGGTCAGTTCACGTACTTCCTTGCCCCTCTCTTATCATCAACCCATTGCCTTCAAGCATGGACTGGCCTCATCATGGTTCTGGTATGACCCAACCCCCTCCCTAACCTCTGCCCCTCCAGTGCTGCACACTCCATGTCTCCCCGAGCACGGAGTTACCTGGCAGGTTGAAGTTCTTCTGCTGTCTTGTGCACTGTGGGGAAGGGTGTAGGGGAGANTACCTGGCAGGTTGAAGTTCTTCTGCTGTCTTGTGCACTGTGGGGAAGGGTGTAGGGGAGAAGGTGGCGTGGCACTAGGAGGGAGGGGCGGTGCTGGTGAGGAGGGCGTGGAGGACGTCGTGGACGAGGGGTTGCTGCTGGAGTCTGGCTGGTAAGGGACAGGGATGTGGTCCTGCAGAAAGAAAACAGGGCAGGGATCAGGGACAGTTAGGGAAACAGAGACAGCAGACAGAGTAAGCTGAGCTGTGAGAGCCCCCACCCCAGCATCCTCAGTGACTCTTGCCCTTCCCTCAGTCCCAAGATCCTTCCAAAGTCCTACTGGGTTATATCTACATGTGGAAAGAACAGTTTCTGGTGTCAAATTTCTGTCCACTGCTTGGACCCCAGAGTGAAAGGTTACCATGTAATGAAAACCACATAGGTGACAGCCACACATTCTGTGCCTCTTTAATTCTGGAAAATCCCACGCAGAGGTGCCCAGAGTACTCTTCCCACCCTCACACCTCTCCTCCCGAGTGTTTATTAAAGAATCAGCAGCCTGACAGCCGCAGAGAGAGCATGAGAGTGAGCTTCAGCATCTCCCCTCCTGTCTCCGCTGGAACTGGCACTGCCTGTCCTCACCCGCCAGACCAGCTCCAAAGCAAGCATGAAGACAGAATCCACGTGTGCATCCTCAGAATGGCCTCGGTGGCGTTGACTTCAGAGCAGCGCAGTCGGT